GCAGGAATGAGTGAAGCCTCATTTCCATGCGAGTCTTCCTTTCTTCTCTATGGGCAGGAAGAGATGCGCTATGGCAAAGCAGCTGCAGGAATGGAGTCCAGCAGTTCTCTGCACAGAGGATTTTCCCCTCAGGAGGATCTTGGAGAACATGGAGGAAGCACCCAAAGAAGTGTTTAAATCTACTACTCTCCCTTCACCCTCATCCCAGGCAAGGAAACATGTGAAGCAATGTTAAGAAATTACATGTTTTCTGGACTAACAGACAGTTACAGCTCTAATGTCTCTGCCCTCCTATCCCTTGGTTATTGCATCCGCATCTGTGTGAGAAGCAACTCACCTTCTTCTTAGCTGTCTTCCGGAATCGTCTCTTCCGTACATTTTTCAGGGGAAGAGTGACTGTGACAGAGGAAACAGATTGCACGTGTCAGGCAGATGGCCTAATGGGAAAGCTGCATGCCAAAAGATCCCTTCAGGAACAGAGAGAGCACGGAAAACGGAGCAGCAGCACAGCCGGGACACGGCAGTGGTGAGTGCCCTGCACAGCTGTGGGGACACTGGGGTGGTGGGACGGAGGGGTTTGGCACAGCCTCTACTCACTGCCATGGTTCCAGATGAATTTCTTCTCTCTGTCCTTGTCCTTCTTCTTGTTTGCCTTGGGGTCAGTGCTCACAGTTTGCTCTTCCAAAGGAGGATAGAGATCGCCATCCACAGTGCAAACAAGCATCTGGAATCCCCGAATAAACACAACGGGTGCTTATTGTAACACAAGGACAAAAGGATGTAAAAGCTTTTCTGGAAAATGAACAGTGACTGCCCACTGCATGTTGTGAGCCAAAGGGATTCACAGGCATGAGGTACGAGAAACACAACGTTTCACACCCAGTTCAGTTCATATCTAAACACAGCTGCAGTTAAGCTGTTACAAGGAAATCACGTTCCATGCTTCACAAATGGGATTGCTAAACACCAAGTGGAGTGGAGAATTTTAAACTGCTAATATTGTGAGAACACAGAAACTGGCCATGTTACACTGGGTGTCCAGGTGCCAAAGTGTACAAGGGTTTTCCTAGAGAGGGGAGCAAGGAATTAAACTGTTGGGGCAGGCAAGAAGGACAGCCCGTACCTGGCAAATATCCGCTGTTTTATAGAAGGTTTTCTTGTCAATGGTTTTTAAGCTCTCGATGATGCAGGGCAGATCCACCAGCTTGGCCGCCAGTGGCACCCGGTCTACACGGACAATCCCATGGCGTCCATCCGCTGTGGAAAGCCACGGGACAGGTTAGTGCTGTCGCTAAACAGCTAAACTGAGCAATACATTCCTAGGCAGCAGAAATTTCACAGGAAAACACATGCAAGTTGCACAGCTTCGGCTGTGGACAGTCAGAGAAGTTTTAAGATGCCCTGATCCTGCTCACTCACCATGTAGCTCAATGGTGAGCCTGTCCTTCAAGTTGACATTCCCGGACTGTACCGCTCGCCGCACAGTGGAGGCATATTCCTGAGAAGGTTGGACAGACTTACATCAGGACTGGGTACACTTCCTCTGAGAATCACTGAAGGCTTCTGTCCAGGCTACCCAGCTTTAAACAGCCCTGCCATCCCAATGCAGAAAAACAACTGCAAGAGCGGCAATGAAAATTGCGTCCTCCTCCCAATACCACATGTGGCTCTGCTATTCCCTTCACACCCGCTGGCACGATACAGCTGTGACAGCAGCGGGAGGCCCCTGACAGAGATACCCTGCCAGAGTGCCACAGCTCTGGGGGAAGTCACAGCTCCCCCAAGCTCTCATGGTCTCAGCAGGACACAGCCTCAGCTTTAAGCATCTAACAAATAGCACCAAGTGCACTGAAAGCCATAGCAACTGAAGACCCAGCACTTGCTAAAGCTCCACCCTTACAGAAATTTCCTCCCTAATCCTCTAAATCATCTTCTGAGCCTCCTGTTCTGTGTCGCAGGAGCACCTCTCAAGAGAAGGCTGTGGAAAATTTGTTCAAAGGAGTGGGAATGAGCTACCCAAGGCCAAAAGCATCCTGCCCCTTCCATGTCCCTTGCCAGGTCTCCAGATTTCCCACTGACTTCGCCTGCCTCGCTAATCCCTCTCCCAGCCCCCGTGGTCGCCAAGCAAACCGGACTGAGCTGCGTGTAAAACCTGATGGTGGCCACTGCAGCTGTACCAGGCCGAAGGGTCTCTTACCGGCGGCAGCCGCAGCACGAACTGGCTCTCCAGCTCATGCGGAGCATCGTCCTTGCTCTTACTCATCCTTTCTTCTTCAGCTTTGAGAACGAGACACAATTACCTCGTCGCCAGGAAGGCTCCTACAAGGTAACCCCAGCCCAACAGCCCCAGGGCCGCGCTCTCGCCCACGGTCGCCCCGCGGAGGGAGCTGGGGCCTTTCCGGGGCGCGGGGCCACGCTGCTGTCGGTTTGACACCGCCGGCACGGCCCGTCCGCCCCCCTCGAGCCGCCCCCGCCGCGCCCCCGGAGCC